TTGCACGACAGCTGCCTCAGTACCTGGATGAATCGACTTATCTAGATCCGTTCCAGTCGGGCTTCAGGCCCGGGTACGGCACAGAGACGGCATTGGTCGCATTGGTTGATGATCTCTGGAGGGCTCGGGACAGGGGTTGCTCCTTTGTCCTGGTCCTATTAGACCTCTCAGCGGCTTTTGATACCATCAACCATGGTATCATGCTGCACCGGTTGGAAGGGTTGGGGGTGGGGGGCACTGTTTTACAGTGGTTCTCCTCCTTTCTCTCCGACCGGTCGCAGTCTGTGTTGACAGGGGGGCAGAGGTCGACCCCAAGGCCCCTTGTATGTGGGGTGGCGCAAGGATCGGTCCTCTTGCCCCTTCTGTTCAACATTTATGTGAAGCCGCTGGGTGAGATCATCCATGGTTTTGGGGTGAAGTACCATCAGTACGCTGATGACACCCAGCTGTACATCTCCACCCCAGACCACCCCAATGATGCCCTCGAGGTGATGTCTCGGTGCCTGGAGGCCGTACGGATCTGGATGGGGAGGAACAGACTCAGGCTCAACCCATCCAAGACCAAGTGGCTGTGGTTTCCGACGTCCCAATATAGTCAGTTGGCACCATCTCTGACTATTGGGGGTGAGTCGTTGGCCTCCACAGATGGGGTTTACAACTTGGGCGTCCTCCTGGACTCGCGGCTGTCTTTAGAAGAGCATATGGCAGCCATGGCCAGGAGGACTTTTTATCAGGTTCGCCTGATTCGCCAGTTGCGTCCCTTTCTGGATCGGGACTTGTTACGCACGGTCACTCACGCCTTTGTCACCTCATGCCTGGATTATTGCAATGCTCTCTACATGGGGCTCCCCTTAAGGAGCACCCAGAGGCTCCAATTGGTCCAGAATGCGGCTGCGTGGGTGGTGACGGGAGCGATGTGGCGCTCCCATGTGACCCCCCTCCTGCGCGAGCTGCACTGGCTCCCAGTGGTCTTCCGGGTGCACTTCAAGGTTTTGGTTACCACCTTTAGAGCGCTCCATGGCTTAGGACCAGGGTACTTACGAGACCGCCTTCTGCCACCAGTAGCCTCTCACCAACCAGTTCGCTCCCATAGAGAGGGGCTCCTCCGGGTGCCATCGGCCAAACAATGTCGACTGGCGGCCCCCAGGGGGAGAGCCTTCTCTGTGGGGGCACCTGCCATCTGGAACGAGCTCCCCCCAGAGATACGGAGGATCCAAGACTTACGCATCTTCCGCCGTGCCCTAAAAACGTTTTTATTCCAACAGGCTGGTCTGGCCTAACTCTCCCTTTTAAATTGGGTTTTAAATTGGGTTTTAAATGTTTTTTAGATAAATTGGATGTCTTAATTTTTTTTAATCCTAAATTATTTAATCTGTTTTTAATAGTTTTTTTAACTTTTATATGTCTTTGTATTTTATTTTGGCTGTTCACTGCCCTGAGTCCTTCAGGAGTAGGGCGGTATACAAATATGATAAAATAATAATAATAATAATAAATGCAACACTATTGGCTGAAAATAAGGAAGACCTGGAAAAATGATCTAGAAAATCAAGGATGAGAATGAAAAATTAGGCTTGACATCAGGAAAACAAAGATAATGACAACAAGTTGCAGATGGACATGAGATGTTTAATATCAACAAGGTGAAAATTGAATTAGTTCAAGAATTTATTTTCCTTGGATCTATTCCTTGTTCACAATGGCAGTTCTGCTCCTGAAGAAATCAAATGCAGGATAACCTTTGGCCATACTGCAATGAATGACATGAATAAGATCTGGAAAAGCAGAGATATTGACATACCATGTTTCCCTGAAAATAAGACCAGGGCTTATTTTCAGGAAATCACAATTTCAGGGTGATCAGCCTGGCTGGGTGCCCCTCTCCCAGCCATGCGTATAAAAGACAGTGACCATGTGGGGACGAACAGTTTCCAAAAGCAGCTATAGCCCACTGGCCCCTTGGTTGGCATACTCTGGGGCTATGCAGCCCGCACAATGTGGGTGACTTGATTATTTGTCCAAGCAGCAGACAGTGGCAGAGGTGCGGGGAGACATGTGATCTGGACTCACTACATGGGCTGTGGGAATGCTGAGAGATAGTGGGCTGGAGTGACTGGCTGGCCATGGGAGGCTCGTCTTCATGCGGCAGCATCAGCAGCAGACAGATACAGAGGTGTGGTGGGAGGAGGCACAAATCCAGACATGCTGTGCAGGCCACAGACAAGCAAAAAGACAGTGAGATGGAGTGGGTGGGTGGCCATCGGAGGCTCATGTTCACATTTCTCAGCTTGTCTGTTGTCCATACAGAGCATCGGGATCGCCTGCTTCCCCCCCTCCCCCCTGCGCATCTGTCACCATCAGCTGCTGGTGCCACCGCATCAAGATGAGTCTCCTGCAGCTACCTGCTCACTCTGGCCCACCATCTCTCAGTTTTTCCATGGCCTGCAGGCATCTCCAGATTGCATGCATCCCCCCGCTTCCATCTGCTGCTTAGACAGGTAATCAACTCACCTGTGCTGTACAAGCTGCGGTTGTGCCAGACACCATCAGCCTCTGTGTGCTCATCACCACCACGCCACTCCCTTCAGTACAGCTTATTTTGGGAGTAGGGCTTATATTAGGTGCACGTGTAAAAATCAGGCTTATTTTGGAGGTAGGCAAATAGAAAAAGCAGATGAGTTAGAGTAATAGCCTTCTCTATAATGATGTATGGATGTGAGAGTTGGATGATAAGAATGGCTGATCGAAGAAGAATGGATATCTTTGAATTATAGTTCTGGCATAAATTATTGTATTTCCATGAACAGCAAGGACAACTAAGAGAGGGGTGTTAAATCGTATAAAACTAGACACAACACTAGAAGCTAAAATTATAGACTACATGTGATTTAACCATGTCATGCGTGCAAATTTATTGGAGAAGTCAGTGATGCTAGGAATGGTTAGTGGAACAACAAGAAGGGATAACCAACTGGGTTGATAACATCAAATCTGATAAAAGTTGAACATCCAACAATTGAAAGATGTGCTTGACATGATAGCATAGGGAGCACTTGCCTATAAAGTCACCAAGAGTCAGACACAACTGAATGGTTAAAACAAACAAATCTTCTGGCCAACTACTTAATATCTCAATATCAACACCTGCATATTGAGCATGCTCCTCGGTCCATATATATCAGTAATATCAGATAGAATATCAATAACTTACATCATTGACACACACACACACACACACACACACACACACACACACACACACACCTCTGGAATGTTCTTTGATACAAAGACATACAGAGATAAATTACTGATATTCCATTCACCAACGTTTATCTTTTGCCCATGGTAGGTCTGTCTATCTCACTGCTTCTGCTTGCCTATTACCTGCTTTAATATTTGCTGATGTTTAATAAATCAATATTAAGGTGTACTTTGGGCTATTAGTCAGGTTGAAAAGCATCTGTATTTGCTCTGATCCATGAGGATTGACTGGGAAGGTGTGGAAATAAACCACAGTAATTTTCCAACATCTTGCTCATTGGAGAACAGCCTAGGTAAAGAGACCTTTTATATCCTAAAAAGCTTTATTTAGCTTGCCTTCAGTCTAGCAGCATGATTTCTAATCTATAATAGACATTGTAGCTGTAGTTTAGCCTCTCAATCATTTCAGTACCTGTTATTTACTCATGTGCCTAATAATCAACATAGTGGGGTTCAATTTTTATTCAGGGTTGCTTCTGTTATGTTTATATTAGAATTCTTTTGCTGAGATTCCCCACAAAGTACTTATTTGCATACAAAGGTCATGTAAATTTGTATTGATGATCCTGGAATTCAAAAGCAGTTGGCCTGTGTATAATTTGCTGGGTAAATTTATTAAGATACACTTCTTTCAAGGTCAATCTGGACATGGTAGAGTATGAGTTCAATTACAAGTTTGAAAATAAATGTTCTAACATACCAGACAACCAGGCCCAGGATCAGTAATGATAATAGTTGTAGATTAAAATAAATTAGAATTTATCCTGTTATTCAGGATACTGCTTATAAGTGCTATGTGCTTAGAGCTCAAGGCATCATTAGAGAGCCCCCCCACACACACACACTTTACAGTCTGTTTCTGTTGCTCTCCTCTGGCAGGAGGTTTCAAAGTTTCGAAGTATTTCTAGCAGTACTACCAGATTCTGTAACAGCTTTGTTCCCTATGCCATTCGTCTGGTAAACTCGCAAGATTTGTTTTTCTCACCATGTACATGTATACATCTGAACTGGACTGCATTGTTTCTCTGTGTCATATATGTGAATATATACATAATTTCGTATTTATTTATTTATTTAGTCATGTTTATGTGGTGTATATTGAAGGTGGTGACCCTTTGAGAACTGTATGCAATGAAATTTTATTTTAATGTATGCTGATTAGTGTACATTCAAAGTGACAATAACATTATTATTCTATTTTATTCTGGAGTGGGGGATACAACTATTAATTAACTGTAGCTGCAGTTGCCCTCTGCAGATTACAAATCATACTCAATAGGTCATAAGCATTGGATTTGTCTGAAGTTAGTCTGAGATTAAAATTAAAGGTAGCTTCTTGAAGTAGAGCGGGACTGCAATAAATAAACCATAAACTAATCTAGTTTACCAAGAATCAGTTCAACTCTAAAACATGTCCTAATACTAGAGGAATGAGCCTGAATGAGCTCAGTTACTATATTGTATGTTGCATTTCCTTTTCTACATGACTTTACTTTGGGAAGTAAAATATATAGGGCCACTATTGGACAGTAGGACTATCAGGTCTGGGCTGCACAATCTGGATGACCTTTAAATGGCAGCAAAGATAAACTTTGAGTCCATTGGACTCCTAAAGAAAAGGCAAATTTGCAGTCCTTTCTTCAAGGGGGATATATTCCTAACCATTCGTTATCATAATATTAAAATGCAACAGGTTGAAAAGAAATTCAGTGACAAGAAATAAGAGACACCAACACATATCAATTGTAAGATGTTTGTTTTTAGAATTCAAGCTTACATAATAATCTATGCTCACTATAGTCATAATTGCATATTAATATCTGCATACAAAAGCTATGTAAAAATTATATTCTTTTCCCAAATATACAAATTTCTCTTCAGGTAGTTTAAAACATTTATGATCACATATTTAATATTGTTTTTAGGCTGAAAAAAATATTACTCATCTAGCATATATTTAACACTGTTTGAAAGGGGAAAAAACCAACAAAACAAACAAAACACTTAAATTTTATCCCAGAATCTTCAGCCTTTCTAATAAATCTGTATACTTCCAAACAGTCTGAAGAAATCCAAACCATAACAATGCTAATCCAAAGCTCAGCAGCATCCATCTTAATAAAATGAAAAGAAACAAAACATAATTTTGTGGAATTCTAAAATAATTGACATAAGGAAAAAATAATTTAAAAAATTAAATGTTTTTTCAATCCATGGTATGATCTTATTTCTCACTTTCATAATTTCAGTTGCAAAATAAAAAATGTCTTAATGTTTTACATTGTGCTCAATAATTTACATCAATTCCATCTACCTGGATGTAGATTTACATTTGATTGTCTTGTGCATAAATAACAATTAGCTTTATAAAGTTAAACTGTGAAAAACAGATAGTCACGAACAGCTTTTTACCTGCACAATACTGCTTCTGAAGGCAACATAGTTAAATGAGGATTAAGACACAGAAGCAAGGCAGACTCTGCATTTGATAGCACTTATACAACACAGTAAAAACTTAGTGAAAGGCCAAATCTTTTTTAAAATTGTAGTAATCTATATTTATGTTTGTATGTTTTAAAAAGTAAGCCTATTTTATTTTAAATTAGTTCTTGTTTTTTGTTTGATGAAAATAAATCTCTCCTATCTAGGATATCATGTCTCTATAAAATTTTACATAAGGGTCATATCAACCTAATATCATGAGGAAATTTCTGATAAATTACACTATTAATGTATGTCTTGCTATTTCAAAGCTGCAAAAAGGCAAGCAAAGAAATATTTCTTAGTAGATCATGAATGAGTGCACAACTTTATCAACATTTTTCTTAACTATCAAAATGAGGCAGAAACTTGTTCTGGCACAAATGGCTGATAGTGACTTGCCCATTTTATTCATCTTTTTTGAAAATCCTATGGACTGCACTTGTTTTCTAATAAAGCAAGAACTGAATGAGTCTCACAGGTTTTGATTCTAATTTCCAGCAGAGGATATAGATTATAAAAGCCTAATCCTACAAAAAATATTGGCTCCATCTGAAAAACATTAAGTTTTAAAAACCTTAAGAATGATGTTACTGACAATTTATGTGGCATATCAATATGATATCTACATTTTAAGATTACATATCATAAAGTATTTCACTAACAACAATGTGGTCATCTTGTAGTCTATAGGGCTGCATGGATGGATTTCCTTCCACAAATCAACCATTTTTCTTTTGACTTTGCATTGCCTTTTTAATTCCACTGCAGCACATTAACACAAAGATAAATCACAAACGTTCAGTGTCTGATTCTGACACCTATATTTTGGCACAGTGCTGTTGTTTTTAAAATGGCTAAGTCACTGTAGAGTCCATCACTATCCACTTTCCCAATTTACAAACACTATGGAACTCAATTGCAACATCAAACCCACAGCAGCTTAAATATTTATCATTTAGAGCAGGACACACATTAAGCAAATTAAACAATAATTAAACATTAATTATTTTTAAAAAGAGAAATAATATTTTGTAGAATGCTCCACTTGATACTATACCTACAGCAGAAAACAAACTAGAACAGCATGGAATATCATAAACAATCAGAATTAAAGCTGCATAGTCAAAAATTCAGATGTTTTGTAGTCAGTGAAAACAGCTCCCAACAGAGAATAAATGAGTGTACAATTTACCACTCCTAGTAAACATTATGAAAGCTAAAGCTGAAGATGCTGCCAGATGTTTCTTAAAATCTTATACCAGTACTTGAAGGATTGGGATCACTTTATTTGTCAAAAAGAAACCTGAGGTATCAGATTCTAATAACTTAAAATAATATGTTTCTCTGGTGTGACTAAAAATAGAAACCATTATAACATGAGCACACTTACACATGAAAAAAGAAAAACAACTGGAATCCTGGGGATGGGATATCCATTGATGTTGAGAAATTAAGCTTCTAGAAATCAAAATATGGCTCTTGAGTTTTGATGAATGATCACTGGGATTGTCATCCAAATGGATTGTTACACTCTGAATAGGTAGGTAAATTGAGGACCCAGTTGTGGGGGCAATAAGCTGACTTTGTATAAATATACAAAAGGATGAAGGCTATTGCTGAGCACATTGTAAGCCGCCCTGAGTCTTCGGAGAAGGGCGGCATATAAATCAAATTAAAAAAAAAAATAGCACAAAGCACATTAAAAACCAAATATGAGACAATTTCATGTATTTATGTTTAAATGTGGGTTAAGATTTAGAATATCACACCATAATGAGCTAATGCAAATCAAAACATAGCATTCATTAGATTGTGATCTTAGCTTGTTATATGTTTTAAACATAGCATATTATAGTTTTCTAGAGTGGAACTGTTCCACAGTAATAGGGAGATTCCTTATTGATCAAAATAAATGTTTGGGAGTAGATATTTTCTTCTTATAGTAATAAATTATTGAAAAGCTGTGGAGTTATCAGGTTGGATCCAAGATTCTTTCTTTGTCCCTTTCAACAAAGGAAAACTTTGGAGTTTTTCTGAAAATTACCCTAGATACCATTTATTACTTTATTTTGAAGAAAATCTCAACATTTCCACTGGGAACTTAACCACAGGTTAAGTGAGGTACTCTAGTCCTTACTGGATGCCCCTTTGCTTTTAGGTTATGATTTTAGGTTATGATTTTACACGGAAGTAAACATTAATATAAATATTTATATTTGGGGCAGGGAAGATTTTACTTAAAAGATTTTAGAAATAGTATCTGTTTGCAGCTAGGATATAATCTTACCTATAAAGTTAATAATAGATATGCACATCATGCTTTTTCTATAGCAAAGTAAAAAAGAGATGGCGATTTAAAAATAAAAATGGCATAGGAAAATGAGAAAAATCCCCTCTCTATAGTTCTGCAACTTGGTGATCTTCTGGCATGTTGACCAGTAACTTTGGGAGTTTAACGCACAATGCACCTTTGCAACAAAAGCTTTTGTGAAGGAGGTCATGTGATAAAAGCAGCATTCTACCATAAGCTCCACCTCTTATGTTCACATGTCATGACACAGCACACATGTGTGAAAAGAACTGAAGTTTGCAACACAATAGTGCAATGCTGTCATTATTTTGATGAAAACATTCAGTCTTGTGGACACCTCTGAATTCTGAGAAGGTAGAATTGAAGAAAAATAACAAATATATGGTACATTTTCATTTTTTTTCCTTATCAAATGGGCTGACTGCCACCAAAATTCTTCACAGATATTTTGACTAGGCAAATGTGAGCATTTTGGGAAAAAAATCAAGTTGATTCAACTATGTTTTTGGACAACCATTTTTAGAGATCTCAAGCTAGTAGTCAACTCTGACATTATGTAAATATTTATGTTATCAGAAATTTGTACAAGATAAGAAACTGCATAGTCTATAAAAATCTCTCCGATGACAATATCCTTATATGCCTATTCTGTATGCATACCTAGTTTAACAAAGGAACATGATTCATCCTTTGCCCATGAAGCCCCAGAAAACAGCATTCCCCAACCTTTTCAGCATGGGGGAGGGAGGGAAGAGGGGATGGTGTGAGGGGAGGTATGCGCATGCATGCACACACAGTTTCATTTGTGTGGAGCTCACGCATGTGGAGCTGCAAGCGCTAGTGTCCAACACTTGTCCAAGTGAGGCTGTGAGTGGCAGTGTCCATCACTCATGTGATTGGGGCTGCGAGTGCTTGCACCTGCCATTCGTATGAGTTGGGCTGCACGCATGCACTGGCCCACCACTCACTCGGCCCAATTATGAATAGTGGGTAGTGGGCCATGGCTCACAGTTTGGAGACCCCTGCCATAGAATATATCATCCAGGGGAGAAACAATCCTTGATAAGACAAACTCACTAGCATCCTGATTTAGGTTGCTATAGAACCAAAAACGTTTTACAGAAACCAATCTGGTATGTTGACATTTGTTTTGTAAAAACTAAAACACTGAAGCCAGCCTGCCATTAAGAAGCATTTCTTCTCTCTAATTCATATAGACTGAAAGTTTTACTGTATGATTTGACATTTACTGACAAGGACTACCATTTGTAGATTGTAAAATCAAGTGTATTTAAGCCACTGAAAATAACTTAAATACAATACATCGAAAAGACTTCTGTTCTCAATGGAATTAACCATGGCTGAAAACAATATTATAATTCAAATGTTTTCCACAGTGACAGTCTACCTGAGTGCAAACATTACTAAAGAGGACAAAATGATTTGGAATCTAGAATTTCAGCTATTCATTTGGAATAAGATTCAAAATGAGTGTACCTAACAATTTACATTCTGTCAAATCTTTTTTCTTTAAATGGATTTCCATGTCATAGCACAATGATGGCTAACCTTTTACGTCATTGCATGCTGGCCTGCGTGCCGCAAATGGCACGCAAAACCATCCGCCTGGATCGCATGACCTTGCTTGTCTTTGCACGTGTGGGAGCACTGAAACCTGGAAAAGCAGTGTTCCATCATGCATGTACAAGCCAGCACCCCAACCTTCTGGTTTCCAGCACGGATGCATGCCCAACAAACAGCTGACCATCGCGCATGCGCGTGACATAAACCTGGATATTCGGGTGCCAGCTTGCGCATGCACGATGGAACGTTGTTCTTCCAGGTTTTGGCGATCCTGCGCACGCAAAGGCCAGATGATCGGCACGTGTATGTGCACAGGAACGCAGACAAGGAGCCAGCGAGGCCGCGCATCCCTCACAGGATGGTTCTGCGTGCCACTTCCGACATACGTTCCATAGGTTTGCCAACACGGTCATAGCATGTGACACTTTGTTCATAAAAAGTTAAAGGCCCATAACTCTTGGCTGTATAAAAGGAGATTCACAAATCCTGGGATTCAAGTTACTGATTACAGTCACTGGAAGGGTGACGGTATACAGAAAAAGGATATACAGAACGAAGTGGAAAGATTTATTACAGACAACTGGAATTAATTTTTGTTGAGTTGGCAGGGGGAAAGACAGAGAAAACCTTTCTTATGTATCATATTAAATTGGGAAGAATTCATTGCACATATTTTTATGGTTTAGGAATTGCATTCACTATAAAAGACAAAATGGCTGAATAAAGGTATCCCTTAAAGTCATTATCATGTGAATATTTAAAAACATAAATGGCAAGGGCACAGAATAACTTGTCTTGCTACTGACTCAAAATAATTTTGGGCAAATGGGAGAAATATAGTTAACTATGACTCTAATTTATCCAAATTACCATTTAGAAGAAAAGAGATCAGGGGCCTTGGCTCTGGGGAAAATTTAAATGTACTTATTTCTTCCTGTATTGTTTTTGCTTTTGGACTGAATAAGAGGAAATGATAAGCTATGTTCACCTGGGAAAAAAATAGGACTCTGACTGCATTCTGGAGCTTTTTACAAAGGTAGTCCTCACTAAACAACCACAATTCAGATAGGCAGGGTGGTTAAGAGAAGCATCACACGACTGTGTTGGATTTAAGGTGTCACTCACACTGCTAAACAAATCACCCATGGTCATTAAAGCAAGATATCACACAACTGCGACTTGTGATTTTAATGCTGGCTTTTTCATTAACTCTGCTTGATGGAAGCTGGCTTGAAATGCACAAATAGCAATCATGTGGAATGCTATGTTCATTGTAAAGCACTCAAATGTGAATTACATAACTTTAGGGATGCTGCAATGTCATAAGTGCAAGGATCAATCATAAAGTTACTTTTTCAGTAGCACTATAATTGAACACTTGCTAAACAGGGCAGCCATTAAGTGAGGATTACCTGCAATTGAATTTCTAAAATACTCATAACAACCTGAAAATGATGATGAAATTATGATTATGGTGGGAAGTTTTACTTGGATAAAACTATCTATTCTTAAGCATGGCAAGGTGAAATTAGGCATAGCTAAATTTGCAATCTGGGAGCACACTACAGTGAACTCAATATATCTGAATTATATTTCAAGTTGTATATAACTGCAACTGATTGCATTTGATCTTCAGCAAGATTAAGACTTGCTAGATTGTTTTGAATTCCTCAGCAGAAGTCTCATGTCCAGAAAGTGAGTTAATACTGTATAAAATATGGCAGAATTTATCTATCCATTTTCTTGCTTTCTCAATTTATTTATATTTATATATTTATACCCATATCTTTCCAAACAATTATAAACATGGGTCACCTGAGTGCTGGTGAATAAACTTAAAATTCTTGAGGTTAAACTCTTGAAGGATTCACATCGAAAGGAGTAATGGACACACAAAAAACGCAATTGTGACAAGTACCCGCATTGAAGGGATATCTTCATTCATTCATGCCTATTAAAAATAATCCTCCAAAGGAGGTGGTACAAAATGGGAATGGACCAAAAGTAAGAAGAAAAAACTAGGCAATGGAATGAAATGACACCCAGTAGTGCTATAGAATCTCTGAGAATCTTTCCAGTCTTTTTAATCCTCAAACACTTCCAAGAACAAAGGAGGAAAGAGTTCTGTGGGGCATTCCACCTTCATGTGCAGGAAGCGGCTAGCATGGCAGGCTCCAATCATTCGTAGGTCTGTTACTTTCATTAGCAGTTTTGGCCAAAAGTGTGCAATATGGTGCTTTCTGTAATTAATATAGTGTTCAAACGCCAAAAGGAAGCTTTCTTGACACTTTTCTATTCTTTCAATGCTGACAAGACCTGGGCGATCTGTAAAAATAAGATTTAGATTAAAAAAAATAAAAACTTTCATTTACCTTAAAAAGTATATTTTGCAAAATGCAAATAGAACCAAAAATGACTTCCACTACATTTCCCCAGGCTGCATAAATTGACTCTTTGCATGATCCTTGTGAACTAGTAGCTTGGGAAAAGGGGCTATCGATGGGAAAAACAAGCCTGGTTTTTTGGGTGGGTATTACAGATGAATTGCGGCTGGTGTGTGTGTGGGTATATGTACACTCATACTCAAACAATGCTGCTGAAATTTGTTAGCAAACATAAGTCCCAAAATCTACCCTGATTTTTAAACAAAAAAGAAAACAAAAACTAGTGCAATAAACCTCCACTGGAGGGAGACAGTCTGTCAGAGAGAGAAAAAACAGGCTGAAAGTTGTCTCTTTAAAGACTTGATTACATCATTACTTCCAATTTTTTGAGAGTTCCCAGCTCTCAGAACATTCCTTTTTCCTTATGTATTCTTTCTTTTGTTTAGTATTCATTGCAAAAACAACCAGCTATAACTTTATTTGGTTGTCAGTTGGATGACAACCAAATAAAGTCTCTTGCAAGACTAGTTCTTCTTTATAAAATCATGTATAATAGATTTTTTTTTTAAAGTTGTGGATTTAACAAATTGTTTTTTATGTTCTAAGAAGGAAGTGCAATTGTTGAATGGTTGTCTCTCTATGGTTCCATTCCTTTCTTTTTTCATCATTACCAATAGAAGGGAAATCAAATACACCAGAGATCACAGAGTTTAAGCCCACAAAGGGAAAAACTGACTCCTTGCTTTCTAATGGAACACTTGAAATAGCAAAGATTTCTGTGGAGAATCTGCTGTTCCTGAGTGCCATGAAATCAGCATGGTATAATAAATGATTTTTAAAACACTGTCATCTAATTTTTATTACGTATGTTTGAAAGAGTGTGAATCTTTCTAGAAGGTTTACAGAATCCTTAACAGGGAAAGATTTTGTTTCATAATATTTTAAAAATGTTCACACTCACCTGAAGACATCAGCAGTACAGCCTGAAGAAGAGCAACTTCCGTGTCATCAAGGTTGAATGATGATAGTGACATACCCAAGTCAAAAATGGCATCTGATACTACACCAAGACCCCCATTTTTCAACTGGCCTCTTGTTACTGCCATTTCTCCATTTAGTGTTAAGGTCTCACTTTCTGGGTCGTAGCGCACTGCTGCTCTGAGGGACATGATCTCCATGCAACAACCTTTCAGAAGTATAATTTGATCTTCACATGGCAGCTGTAAATAATTGCAAGTGGAATAAATTTTCCCACAGGAAAAATACTTTTCTGTATAATAAAAACAAACATAAAAACAAATCTTTCCCATTATGGAATACTTCTAGGTAAGTCTTTTACTAGAAACTATCCCTGCCATATTCACAAAAGATTATGGCCCTTTAAACAATTGTTAATAATATTTTCTCTTTTCACCTTAGTTTCAATAGAAAATTTTCAAAAAGGAGAAATAGCTATACAATATCTTTTGCCTGAAACCATCCATTTAGGAACCCTGTTAATTTCAGACTTTTAAAATGGTTAAGATCTGCTTAGAGGAATATCAGATGTATACACAGTACACCTGAAATTTCTCCTATATCCGTGATGGCGAACGTATGGCATGTGTGCCAGAGGTGGCTTGCAAAGCCCTCTCTGTGGGCATGCGTACTGTCGCCAGCTGCTCTTCTGATTTCTGGCGTACACATGTGCGCCAGCCAGCTGATCTTTGCAATTGCCGGAGCCCTGGAAACCCAAAGACCAGCTGACTGGTGTACATGCATGCACACCACTCTGGTTTGGGCACTCTGTACCGAAAAGGTTCGCCATCACTGTCCTATATGATAGATTGCTGATCAAAAGCCAATCTGCAAGTTATTTCTAAGTTTGATCTTTGTTAGGATTCATGATGGTGGTGACTGGAGAGTGAATAAAGTTGGCAACTTCGTATTCAAAATATTTTTTCATTGAGCATTATTATAAACTGCCAATTTTACAGATTTGAAATAGAAATCAACAGAATATTCAGAGAAGAATACTATCCTGATTTTGTGTGTCATATGGTTATTACTTGTGCTAATAAATGTCTCATTTTATGTGGCTACATCTGAAGACATTTATTTTTAACTATGAATGCTTTCTTCCTCTGTCTGTACAGTGAGGAAGGGGATTTTTTTTTTTACAGATGTATTGATTACATTTAGCATTGCCAAAACCATTCTGAGAAGCAACAAAAGTTTGCCTTCATAAATTGAAAGCCATACCTTAATGACAGAAGAATTGTTGGCAAGTAGGTGGGCTTAGAAAATGACAAAATAAGTAAAATAAAAAAGAAATTTAAACAAGACTTCATATGGAAAAACAAATATTATATTTCCCTCATCTTCTCCTCCTCTTCTTCCTCCTCCTCCTCCTCCTCCTTTTCTTTTCTTCATTTGTCTAATTGAGCTATACACTGATTTTCCTGAACAGCAGGCAAAATAATCTATACTGGAAAGGGAGTTATAGTGAAAGATACTACAACCATATTCATTCTCAAAGAAAGTAATGTTGTTTCTTAACATAGAAGAGGCAAAATAGAAATAAAGAATAAAATAAGAAAATAGAGGGATAAATTATTAATATTTATTTTGACATCATTTACAATTAATACAACTCCTTCAATACTTATTGCTATCAGCCTTATGCCATACTTTTCTAAAAAGGAGTGGAATTTTACAAAACAGGTGAAAACTACAGAATAAATGAATAATGTTCCATAACCAGATAGTGGCCAACCTCAGCTTGCTAGCTCTTTTATTAGGAAGTATAATAGAAAGTAGGCAAAATGACTATACCATAATTGAATACTGCCCTGGAATGTAAGAGAGCCAGTTTGAGGGAAAATATTCTAAAATCAATCCTCAATTTCGCTAAGATACCAGTTGTTACATTTCTTTTTACCATTGTTCTCTAATGAACAAAAACTGTTATTTAAAGCTGAAATGGCAGTATTATATATTTATTTGAGATATACTTCAGTGCTTTTGACACAAACTTAAGTATTCTGTGGCAGTATTTTATATGTACTTAAAAATGTACTTCAATGCTTTTTAGCGCAAACTTACAGACAAACATTTTCCCCTGTAAGCTAAAAAGCACTGAAGTACATTTTGAAACAATAAGATGGAGAGGGAAAAAAAGGGAAAGAAAGAAAGAAAGAAAGAAAGAAAGAAAGAAAGAAAGAAAGAAAGAAAGGAGGGAGGGAGGGAGGGAGGGAGGGAGGGAGGAGGGAGGGAGGGAGGAAAAGAAGGAAAGAAAGAGAAACAGAATGAAAGGACTAACTGAGGTTCAGAAGAATCTTGAGATAAGTATATCTAGTGTAAGAAACCATAGCTAAAGCTATTATGTTGAAAATTGTCATTTTCAGTGCTCTAATAATAAGAATGCTATATGTTCCTCTTGCTCTTGTTTGCTGATTGGAGTGAACATTTCTTGTTGGCTACCTTATATCCAGCAAACTCCTGCAATTCCCTGAGTGAGATCATCCTGGAGAGTAAAAGTTGAATTTCATTGGGGTTCAGTGACATAGGGCTCCTAATGGGGAGCATAACACAAGTAGACAGAATCTGTGTTGTTTCTTTGCAATCTAGTACTAGATGCTGTGCTTTCAAATGAATGCTTTTTAAAATGTATCTGAACCATTATATTTCCTGTTATCTTTAATCATCCAAATAATATTGCCACCCAATGTGAAACAAATCTGTTAAAGAATAGCTCTAATAATGCAGTGTCATATAAAGTGATGATGTAAAATATAATGAACATTGCTAAATTATGACTCTCAATATCCAGGTAGCTTGCAGACTATGCTAAAAATCATGGTAGCTCAGGGTCTGGAAGGTCATAATTTTCCTCCCCACTCCCTGTTTAACAATATCATCTGAAGAGTAGATATTTAAACATGACATCTAGATTAACATTTTTGTTTTGTTTCAGATCAACCCCAATTGCAAATATTGTCAATCATGGAATCTATGAAAGTTTAACATGCTTAGATTAAGATTATATCAGAAAATGCTTCTGTTCAAGTTGAGCTGTGAAAAGCTGTTTTATTTCACACCTATCCCACTAACAGCAAATTATATGATATGCTAAATATGTACTATCAATTTTCCCTTTTTGAAAAGTTAAAGAATGCATGTAGGCTGTCTAGAATTGTTTGGTTAGTGAGATGGGCAACAAGTAAATTAAATAAATAAGCAAATAAAGTAGACATATTTACTATATTGATAACTGACCTTACCACACAATGAAAAACTTAAGCATTTAATCTTAGGTGCCATGAAAGCTATCCAAAAACTGTATGTACAGGGATGGGCAAATAGTCTCAATTTGAATTGAACACACTTTGCTTATTATAATATGAAAAGACAAGCCCAATGGCACACTCTATGTTCAATGAATTTCATATTAAGTTGTTCATTTATGGGTCTGTCCTCATCCCTTTCACCTTCTCCAGGAAAAAGGGCATCAATGGTGAATGTAGTCCTTTTCTCCACCTCTATGCTCAAAAAGAATGGCCAAGGCAAGGAAGTAGTGCAAAGAAATATATGACCAGGTTCTTATAGCAGCAACAATATTCTAAATAATGACCTGCTGCCATTGTTCACTAAGCAATTTTCTACATTGAAATGTAATGGGGGTTGGAGGAGATCTTAATATGAAGCTACAGCCAGCAAATTACTTTTCCAAACGGCTTGCGAAACAAGATGAGGGAAAAAATTAGATTGCAGTGAGGATGGTTCTTTTCAGTTGTTCTTGGGCAACAGAAATAAAGGTCTATAGTTTTACTATAAGAAAAAGGTAGCCATACTAAGCTATTAAGCTATTAAACTGGAAGCAACAAAATGTTAAGCATGATAAAATGCATTATTTATCCATAAAATGATCCCTTTTCAGGGCAGCTCTGATGTACACAAAAAATAAGTTGAAAAATAAATACTTTCTTAAATATGCTCGATAGCTTGTTATAAAAATGACTATAGGCTGTTCAATTATATAGGACCTACATTTGAATGGTGGTTTATTCCATATTAAATTCTGTTTTGATTTGAATCATTATCATTCAGTTAGATAAGGAAGAATTGCACATGCATTTTTGTATTTTTATAACTTCCTTTTAATTCTAAGGAGATATAGTGGCACAGGAATTTCAGATCCAATCTTGATAAACAGTAAATCAAGATTCTGAAATCCTAGCATACATCATAAATGCAGTTCTTAGACCTTTGAATGAATTCATGTGGTTACTTTAAAGAAGAGTATGACAATATTTCATGGGTTTAGGCCTGCAAAACTGGTGTCTGGCTTTGGAAAGGCTACAGAAAGCCATCTGGCAATGCTGTGATGATACAAAAAAAGAAGAAAGAAATGAATGACATTTTTCAGGGGCTTTGTGGAATTTGTTTTGCCCATTTACAGGTACTTTAAGGATATTTTAAACTATCTAAATTGCCTCCAAAAAGGGCAAGGTTGAATTAAGTATAGTGACAGGGAGATGTCCAGAGGGAAAATACTCCTATTACTGCCTGAAAAATCATTGAACTCTAAGAAAAAGTCTAACATGTTCTGTCAAAGGATGCTTTATTTTAGCCCACTTATATTGAGTGCCTGTATGCACAACATGGACCATAATTTTTCTTTTTTTCTTTTTTTGTTCTGAACTGTTATAATGCAAAACATCTATCAACAACAATAATATCAACAATAAAAATGCTACCAGAAACCAAAACAAATTAAATAGAAAAGGAATTCATACCTCACAGAACATAGGCAACTTTTTGGCAAAATCCACCACTCTTGTGATTGCTGGTGTGATAATTTTTGTAAACTGGCTGAAAGCTTCTAAATCTACTTTCCCACCTTCTGGGGCATTTACTATTGGTGCTTGTCCAATATCCTCTGGCTAACAACAGAAAACAAAAACATTGTAAGAATGTAATTTATTTACCATAAATATGGATTCTTTTTAAAACTTGTGCAATGTTGGCAACTTAATTTTGCATGGTTTTAAGTCTTGGCTACTATGTAAGATATCCATGTACATTTGTTTTGAGATACCAGTGATTATTTGTGTAATAATCTATGTGTATTGCAAGTTTAATTACTACTTGCTAATTAAAAAAAAATTAAAGGAAACAATGTGGCAACTTATATATGAAAACCTAGGTTTCCCCATCTAAGAATATTCTTCCCTTGAAACCTAAAAAGATAACCCGTAATAACTCTTGCATAAACTGTATTTCTCATGTTTGTTATGTATATACAGTATATAGATATGTATGCCTTTATATATACATTTAGATCTTTATGAATTATTATCCCTTTTGTTTTTTGATCAGAGGCACTCCTACTCTTCACTGAAAGCTCTAACAAAGAGTGTTTTTTCATCTGGAATAGACTGACAGATAAGATAAATAGATAGGAAAGGAATCAGTAAGGACTTTCAACTTTTTGTTAACTGCTTTTGGACATGAAATTAAGTTTGGAGATTCAGGTCAAAGTTATATAAGATTCTATTTCCTGTAATTTAATCTATACCTGTATAACTTGTACATTCTATATCCTGATATTTAAATTAAGATGCACCGGTGGAATACCTGAAAGACCGGATTGGGGACAGATCATAATGGAGAAAATCTTTGTAGTTGCTAAGAGTTGACACTGGCTTAATGACACATAATCAATCTATCAATCAATCAATCAATTCTAATTTCTTGGAATAGAAAATTAAAATTAGAAGAAACAAGAAAAGTTTACAAGATCTGTTGACAAGTCAATTCTAATTTCTTCAGAAGTCTTCCCAAAAGACTGCAGCACCAAAGCACAAAGGCACAAAAGGCTCTGCAGTATTCTGCTGCAACACAGGAAGGATACCTATTCTAGAATTTTTAGCTTATATTTAAAATAAATATAATTCTAGTGTTGGTACTCTTCCAACTTATTCATAGCCAGTATTATGTCCTTAAACAGGATGTTCTGGTTGGATGCCCTGGATCCAATTTCCTATTCCATATGGGATCTCAGAATTGATCAGAAGTGCAACTTCACTTTCTCTTTTTAGGATTCTTCTGAAATTTCAAATATTTATTAACAAATAATTTCATTGTTCAATTATGGTTTAACTGTAGAGTTCAATTCAAAGATAATTTCTGCACCCGAATAGCACTAGATGTGTTTTTGCTTAGAATTCATGTACTCGGAAGACAAATTAAAATAATTGTCTTGTTCAAATTAATAAAGAAGTTGATACATAACCATGTGAGATGTAGGTTCAATCAAAATAAAATAAAAATAGTGTACACTATTGATAAATCTGATTTCTTTTTAGCAGTGATCAACTACCTGATGTATAGCATACTATTTAATTTATTTTTATGTTCAAAAAAATTTTTGCATTCTATATGGATATGTATACTTTCCAATGGTGAAATCCAAATTTTTTTACTACCGGTTCTGTGGATGTGGTTTGGTGGGTGTAGTGTGGCTTGGTTGGTGTGGCTTGGTGGGTGTGGCAGGGGAAGGATACTGCAAAACCCCCATTCCTTCCCCATTCCTGAGGGAAGGATATTGCAAAATCTCCATTCCCACCCCATTCTGGGGCCAGCCAGAAGTGGCATTTGCCGGTTCTCTGAACTACTCAAAATTTCAACTACCAGTTCTCCAGAACCTTGATAGAACCTGCTGGATTTCACCCCTGATACTTTCCCTGTGTTTCAGCACATTAAAAAGTTCCCATAAAGGTTTCTGATGTTAAAATTCAGTATATATGAGTTAAAACTGTAATATGGATTAGACATAGTAGTTAATTTACAATAATTGGGATTAGCATTTCTGTCACTAAACAATGCAGTCATTAAGTAAGCGGTACCCAATTTTACAACCTTTATTTGCTGTGGTTGTTAAGCAAATCACATGGTTACATAAATCCAGATTCTCCATTGACTTGTTGGAAGCCTCCTAGGAAGCTCACAAATGGTGATTATGTGACCCAGGATGCCTCAACTGTCATAAATTCATGTCAGCTGCCAAGTGCCCACATTGCCCACATTTTGATCACATGATTGTGGAAACACTGTTGGTAGTGCAAGGATCAATCATAAATCACCTAGACAAGGGCTAACTGTTATGGTCACTGAAATTATGTCACCTAGTAAAAAACAATTTATCCAGGTTTTTTTCTGATAGCTATTTCTATTGACAGCTATTAGTACCAATTTTAAATTATTATACTTAGTGTATTTGTTTATTTGTGTGATAGATATTTCTCTCTGTTATATATTTAATTAGCAATTTTATGATATTTGTGTGTCTATATTTTTCTTGACTGTACACCGCCTTGAGTCCTACGGGAGAAAGGCGGTATAGAAATATAATAAATAAATAAATAAATAAATATGATTTTACAATTAGATGAAAATAAGAAACTCTTATAAATTATTTAAACAAATACTCTAAATTAGCTCCTCCAACGAACATGCACTGGTTATTCTATGCACTATTTTTTTCCTATTTCCTTTTTATTCCATTGATGGAATGATTTATTCCTTATTAATATGGGTTGATGGATAAACCACTAGGGGGCAGCAAACAGATTTGTGTGTGTGTGGTTTTGGCAGCCATCTAAGTGCTGAAAAATGTAGTTTGAGCAAAGATTTTGCTCTGGGAATTAGTTTAGGAACTGTAAACTATTCTAAGAATATTATGTAAAGAGATGAAATAAAGGACCAGGGCTTTGTTAGGAACAGGAGCCACTCGAAAGTGAATGCCTCATTTCACAGGCCAAAGAAATGCAACAGTCACGTTGCACGTATTTTCAATTACAGTTCTAATTAAATTCAATCAGCCAAGGATGGGGTAATAATTTTAGGGCTTCCCATTTTCTATGTTGCCTTTATAACCCAGTTACAACAGGGAAAATAGAGTGACAGTGAAAGTTGGCGTTCTAATGCTCCTCACAACCAAACCAATCCAGTCAATGAGACAGAATTTGATAGTCCCACAGCAGACCTGCTGAAGCCAAGCAGATTGCTGCTTCATGCTATATCATCTCCTAGCATTCTCCTTCATGCACCGTGTCCAGATGGAAGATCTTGAATTGAGATAACAGGGAAAAACACTTGAAGAAAAAAAGGATATTTGTACTGCCTCTACTGTGGGCTGATGATATATTGTACTGCTTAAAGTGCATATCCTCTGGAAATAATGGGTTGTCTTCATTCAGGGCAAGGAGCTGTATGGATAGGGCCATTGGAAGTGCAGCATACCAGTGTCTTAGTAATTAATCAACAATCAATTAGCTCTCACCATTGGGAAACATTTTGTAACAGTCAACTGGAAACTGTCTTTTCATAATTTAATATAATTAAGGTTCTACTCCCTGGAGCAAAATAACCTATTGCTATTGTCCCTCTTTAATGTAATTAATGTAGGAAAATCATTGTGATAACCCCTAATTTGAACACTTCATTTTTCACTTTTCAAAGAGTTCCTAAAAATGACTAGAACCACTATAAGTTGTTTTAGTTTTGTCCATTTAGCTTAGAAGGTGCACAACCTCCGATTGCTCATACTCTCTAAAGGTATTACTATATTATAGTTTTTATTATGATAGGAGGAAAAATTGTAAATAAATTGGGAATAATCATATAAGATCATAACTTTAATTAATGTAATTTAGTTTTCTTTAACCTTGCTTCTACCCATTTTTTAAATTCTGCTCTGGCCCAAAGGACTGTGGACCTTTGACTGAAAAAAGTTTGCCTGGTTGGTTTAAAATTCTTTCCAACATCTAACAGGGAAAACTATGGAATGCTTGAAAGCTCCAGTAATACAATGTGTTTCATTTTTTAAATGTAAGGACTGATGATTCTTATATTATTCTACCATTATTCAAAGCTAAACCCTTTTCCTGTAGGAGGAGATCTTATAACTTGAAAACATCAAGTTAAAAAAAATATAAAATGGATAAGGATAATATTTGTAACATTTGGTCTCTATTAAACTAAAATAGTTGAATACTAGAACTTGGCGTAAGAATATAAAAAAATAACAGTAGCAATATAGCTACAATGCTATGATAGTCGCAATGACATCAGTGGTTTCCATGGAGTTTTATCAGAGGATTACTATTAAGGATTTTTGTTTTCTTATTGCAATAACTATGTCAGGAATAACCATGTGTTCATAATCTATTGTGTTCTATTTTAAAAAAGAATTACTGCATGGTACAACAAAACTCTTTTCTCCATATAATAAGTATGCTATATTATTAATTTACTATTCGCCGCCTTAAAACACGATGCATTAGTACAGATGGTATTAAAACACAGTTAAACAAATGCATGGAGGGCCAGTATATCAGGGAACATTAAGCAGAATTGTTACGTGCAATCTTATAGTTCAGAACAGAGGGCAATGGACTCCTACCCATGCAAACTTTTGGCAGCTTATGGTGGCATTTATATCAGGAAGGAGTTCAAGGGTCCTGGTGAATGGGGTGATAATGCAAAAGGATGGGCTAAATTTTGCTTTCCTCAGTTTGGAAGAGGGATTTATAGCTTATTTGTAGCTATATTAATCCTACAATATTGATTTGTTTTTTTCCCATCAAAATGGCAAAAATCTATCCTATGAATGTTCAGCAAGTACATTTACTATGATATGCACTTTCACCACAGAGCTCATCTGGACAGGAAAAGGCAGTTCTAAACTGTTGTAGTACATACCAAAAATTTCCTTTTCTGTTTCCAGTGACTTCCTTGTGCATTTGTGGCCACATGTGCTTCTGTAACAATTTTAATAAGCTCCCATTCTTCATCAGTTGGTTCCGGTTTCACTCCTATTGTTTTTTGTAATTCTTCTCGACGTCTTTTCTCCCGATTTTCCTCAATCAGTTTTCTTTTCGCTAATCGTTTGCTGTCATCCAACACCACTAATGAGAAAAGAATATATTACAAAAAAAAGGAGACTAGAAATGCTTCTTATATGGATCTCAATATCTCTTTTGATGATTCAGGTAATATCTATGTTGGTAGTGGACAAATAACAGAATGATTACCCAGGGAAAAATCTGGAGCTTTTATATCTAATCAAGCACATCCTCCAAAACAAGTTAATTCCAAATAATGGAAATTCATAGAGAAAAATTTAAAATTTTTAGTGCTATTATGTCTGGCCATGCTGTAGCAAGTTAAGCTCCAAAAATATCCTTGTCAGATCTTTTTGAAGGGGTATCATGTCTTCAAGATCAAAATATGAGAAACAGAATCTTAGGATAAAATATTTCAGTTTTGTGTACTTTTCAAAACAAGAAACAATGCAAAAATAGCTGGGATAATCACATGACTTTCCATATCCAATTAAAATACATATGAGGAAATCATGGAACTTTTCCACTACAGCCATCACCTTGACTGTAAGGGTAAGGTGAAAGAGCCTTACATGAATGTTCTGCTTTGTGTATATATGAATGGCTCAACTACATAAAGAATCCTAGCTGATCATTAATTGACTGTCATATAGAGGAGCCTCAAGTACAAACTTTCCCTTTATATAGCCACTGAATATATGACAAGGACATCTATGAGGCCTTTCCCATATTGTGAAGATGTATTGTCCTCTGCTGGAGAAAATATGAAAGTATGAGCAATGATTTCTGCTGCTGTTTATTGTGTTATTGAGGGAGAAGGGACAGACTTTGTACCCCTGACCCAGCACAGATTCCTTAATGCTTCCCACCATGATATTTGCCCTTTTGTGCTGCTAGGGAAAACTGCTAATGCCCTTAAAAGCAAATGCAGCAATGCTGGGGCAGTGGGATCCCCCACAATCATAGAGGTTAGGATAGAGAGATTACTGATAGGAATATTGACCTCACACAATACAGTACAACTTTCACAAGGGACTAATACATACACCGAGCAAAAAGAAAAAAAATTGGCTGCCAAACAACACTTTGTTCTTTCTAGGAGCCAAAGGAGAAATGGCCACAGATATGCAGATGCGATGATTATCTGGAATCGGTGATCCTGTGGCAGGCCAGTTGGAGCGCTACAGGTTGCCAATTTCTTTCAGATTCCTTTCAGAAATGTTTTCATGGTGGAGGTCTTCATTTCCATTTTAATCTGTCTTTAGCCTGCCTCAAGTGATATGTCATTCTCCAGAGAGTCAGTGTGAGAAATATTCTCCATGGTTGGCAGGCTAGCCATTGTAGAGATTGCAAAAGGGGATGATCAGTCTGGAGTTCAATCCCAAGGTTGAACTCATCCTTCCATTCTTCTGAGATTGGTAAACCACATAGAGAGTGCTGTAAAGCACTATGAAGTAGTATATATCATATTTTTTGGAATATAAGATGCACCTTTTCCCCCTAAAAGGGGGTGAAAATTTAGGCATGTCTTATACACCAAATATAGCCCCACCCACCCACTGACCCCCATCCTTTGGCCTCTGCGTCCCAGCAGTTTACCTCCTTGCAGCAAGCAGCAAGAAGAAACAACTCGTTTCAGCTTCAGCACAGCCTAATTAGCACAAGTTGATTGGATCGGCCTCCCGACTCTCAGCTGTTTTGCATGGGCCTCTGCAGCTTGCTGCAAAGGAGGTAAATGGCGGGAGCAGATTTTTTTTTTTCTTGTGCTAATCAAGCTATGCTGAAAATGAAAATGAAAGTAAAGCAGGCTATTTGCTGTTTGCTGCAACGAGGCAAAATTGCTGGGAGGCAGAGGCAGATTTCTTTGCTTGTTTTCCTCACCAAAAAAGGTAGGTGTGTCTTATAGTCCGGAGCATCTTATACTCTGAAAAATACGGTAAGTCTAAATGCTATTGTTATTATATGACACAGTGAAAAGGACAGATAATGTGATTTGTGGTCATGACATATCCCTAAAAATGTAACTCTAAATCTCTTTATCACTAAATGATAAAGCATCTTTACCATTAATCTTTTATCCAAATCTAGAAAAAATCTAGAAAAAAAAATGCTCCATGGAAATATGCTGTCCAAAATTATTCTGTCCAATCATTTCTATTCAGTGGTTCAGAACCTATATCGCATAATTAAAAGGAATTAAAAGAAAAAAAGAAGAGGTATATGAAAAACCTAACTTTCATACCTGAAGATGCATTGCTAATCAGAATAGACATAAGCATAAGCACCCAGGTAAAATCCTGTTGGATCAGAGCAAAGCTGTACCAAAAATAGCATACAGCTTCTACTAAATATTTAGAGTTATTAAGACAGTTATTAAGCACAATGCTACTGTCCCTTTCTTATATTGCTCAACAAATAGTATTTGGAAGGATATTATCTGAGACATTAAGATAATATACAGATATCATGTTAGTAATTTAATTATTCATGAGCTAAGTATTTGGAACGTTTTAATGTAAACAATTATACACCTTTTTACAGATATATGAGTATTGATATATGAGTTTTGAATAAATTGATTATTTTAATAGTTTTAATAAGACCTTTAACTGTTTATATTCTTATAAATCATTAAGACTAATATGCTGAGGCTGCAATTTTTAATTATAATTACTCCAATTCACATCAATTAAAATGCTCCTGCAAATTCTGAGAAACTTTGGGAACACAACCTTGTAAAGAGTTAATTTTGCAGTCATATATTCTATTTTCTTAGAAGTGAAATAGTGTTCCCTTTCCTTCTGGCTAAAAATAAAACAAACAACTGCAGGATGACTCATGCAACAGTATCCAACTTCCCATTTTTCCAAATCTTTAAGCTTGATTTTTTTTTCTTCCTTTGCAGAACTTTGCTCAAAAATCTCCCCACTTCTGTGATAGAAATTGTTCATCTCCTTAATATTGCACAAAATAATTTTGGCCAGAAGAAAGCATAATATTTTCAAGAGTTAACAGAAAATTTAAACTCTGAAAAAAATTTAATTGAACACATCAATCAATATTTTCAATCAGCATATAAGAATATAAATTAAAAATTGGAATAAAAAACTGATTATCAAAATAAATTGTAATAAACATATCTAATGAAAACAAATAGGAAATTAAAAAAAACTTACAATCTGTTGCCATGCCAACATAGATGCATTTCTTGAAGCGACATTCCTGGCACTGGTTTCTTGTAACTTTGTCTATCACACATTTTCCTTCATATTTACAGGAGTAAGTTGGATGAAGATTTTTTTGAATTGTTCTTCGGAAAAAACCCTGTGTGAATAAGAAGTTACAAAATTTTACCAAATCACTCACCTTTCTGTATAAAGTATGCAGGACATTTTACTTGGGCATTTATTTATAAACCATTAAGAAAATGCAATATGATTCTATAATTCCAGTTTATTTTTTTCTCAGCTGGGAATCTGAAGCTTAACTACAATATTAAGTTACATGTCTACCCCAAAGTTCGGGGCATCAGTTTTACATCTTATTTAATTTTTCAAAAGATGACTTTAGAAGTAACTCCTGACAAACAAAAATATGTCTTATACTGTACCTAATTTCAACTATTTACTTAGAGAAATTGTACAAATAACTGTACTCAATTCTTGTTTAGTTGCTATAAATGAGCTTATTTAAAAAAGTTAAGATTAAAAGGACTGATGGATTTTTCCAGTTCATGGACTGTTTTTTAAAAGAAAGTAGTAATTAATAATTCTTGTATACTGCTGACATACTACTCCTACAAGTAGCCTGTGACTTAGTGGTGAAATCCAATTTTTTTTACTACCAGTTCTATGGGCGTGGCTTGGTGGGCATGGTGTGACTTGGTGGGCATGATTTGGTGGGTGTGGTGGGGGAAAGATACTGCAAAATCTCCATTCCTACCCCACTCCAGGGGAAAGATACTGCAAAATCCCCATTCCCACCCCACTCTGGGCCCAGCCAGAGGTGGTATTTTCCATTTCTCCGAACTACTCCAAATTTCTGCTACTGGTTCTCTGAACTGCTCAAAATTTCTGCTACCGGTTCTCCGGAACCTGCTAGATTTCAACCCTGCTGTGACCTCTGTAAATAATTACATCAGTTTAATATCTAAAGGAGCTCTGATGAATATTATTTTCTGGTAAACTGTAATGTTACTGATGAATGACATTTGAATGCACATTAGATTTTATACCATGACACTTTAGATAGATTCAGCTCACAGACATTTTGACCAAACATCCCAGAGTATTTTCTAGGTTGTAATATATTGAATATCTTTACTGTATCTGAAATATGTATAAGATTGGCTTAGCTATAATTCTTGTTTATAACATACATTGAAATTTCTTTTAATACTAGCCTAATGTATATAAAACAGTATCTGTTTTCCATTTCCTATGCTGATGTATGAAGAAACGAGAAGCTGAAACTTCTCTGAAGAGAGCAGAAACTCCTTACCATTCACCTTTATTACAGTTTTGAAAATGAATTACAGACTCAGTGAAATCAATGGTCACATACCTGGTACCACTTTGAGAACATGGAACTAAAATTAAAAATAAAAAACTCTTTGATGCAATTAATTATGATCTATTTAATTAATTATAAATTGTAATCAGTAGGTGGATTATGAAAGAAAGACTTCTATCATTTAAGAATGTTATTATAAAGTGATTTATAAAATACATTAGCAAAATTTACTGTATCTTAGAGATGTCTAGTTCACACACTGCAGTAAGCCACTGTGTAGCTACTTGATTTTGACTTAGTGTGATCTGTTTCATTTATTTATCAACAACCAGATGCAGATGAGGGAAAGATCGAGCTTCCAAATATCTTTACAGCATAAAGTGGCCAGCCTGAGACCTTTGGGAACCCCCAAGAACATGCTACTAGAATTTATAGCAAATAGCTTATTTTAAATTAATAATATATTGCACACATCTCTGACAAATTTAACATAACAATTTTTACTTTTTTTTTTCATTATAAATTTCTTTTTATTGATACCAATAACATAATTTTCCATTCATTTATTGGTTTTTCATGTAACATTTTCATGCTTTTTGCATGAAAAACTGACAAGCTCTAACATCAGATTAAACAACAAGGTTCCATCTTTATTTGGTACTTAAACTGCACTTTTTTGTTTTTCTCTTGTGAACTGCAGTAGGATCATCCCTGGGGAGATTCCAGCAGAAATCAGCAAGCATGGATGAACTCCATTTCTGTTGGTGTCTTTTCTCCATGACTGCAATATCCTGGTAGAATCTCTCCCCATGCTCATCATTCACTGCCCCACAGTTCAAAGGAAAATAGTTTAAATACGAGTGTAAGCAGTGAATTTTCTTTTTTTTTTTATTACAAAAGTTTTACAATTACATTTTCACCCCTTTCCCCCCCACCCCCCCCAGACTTCCCAACCTCCCTAACCTTCCCTAACCCTCCCCTCCCCCCAGACTTCCCTATAATATACTCATAACTGGTAAAGAAAGATAAAAAAAAACACAAAAAAACCCCCTTAATATAACACTTATGTAAAAACTTGAACCCCTCCCTCCCCTTTATAGTTTTTCTTTTTACCCGCATTACATTAAAATATTTCTAATACATTATTTTCAAATAAAAGCTATTTGATACTTTCTAGTTTGATATTTGTTCTGAACATATTCTATCCATCTTTTCCATTCCCATTCATAAGTCTCTTGTGAACAATCTTTTAAGTATGCTGAAATCTTCGCCATCTCTGCAAAACTGGCCATCTTCAAAGTCCATTCCTCAATAGTGGGCAAAGCTTCATTTTTCCAATATTTACCTATCAACAATCTTGCTGCTGTTATCATATACAATATCAGTTTTGTTTCACCCGATGTAAAACCCTTAACTATACCCAATAAAAACAATTGTGGAGAGAATTGAATTTTTTTCTTCAAAACATTCTGCATGACCCACCAAATTTTTATCCAAAAAGCCTTAACTTTCCTACAGGTCCAACAAACATGATAATACGTAGCATCCAAACATTCACATCTCCAACATTTTGGCTGAACATTAGGGTACATACATGACAACTTTTTGGGATCTAAATGCCATCTATAAAACATTTTATAGAAATTTTCCCTCAGGTTCTGCGACTGTGTAAATTTAACATTCTGAACCCAAATTTTTTCCCATGTTTCCAACATCACTGGTTCTTCAAAATTTTGTGCCCACTTAATCATACAATCTTTAACTAATTCAGTTTCTGAATCCCTTTCTAGCAAAACATTATAAAGCCTTTTGATATGCATTGGACCTTTCTCTTTTATATGTCTAACCAATTCTTCCTCGTGCAACATAATACCAGTTTTTTGGTCCTCTTTCCATCTCAATTGTAATTGATTATATTGTAACCAAGTTAAATTAATCCCTTCGTCCAACAGTGTCTGCAATGTCTTCAGCTGCCATCTGCCCGCATCTGTAAAAAGAACCTCTTTGTATAAAAACCCCCCGAGTGACATTATATTTGTATTCCACAAAGTATGACCAAGATCCAGCCATAGCGGTATTTTATAATCCCATCTGAATCGGTGCTTCTTCCAAACTCTCATCAAAGAGTCTCTAAGTATATGACTTTTAAATACTTTATCAACTTTGTCATCATAAAATAAGTAAGCATGCCATCCAAATTCAAGATCAAAACTTTCTGCATTCAATATTCCAGCCTTTTGTCTTCCAAACCAATCACTTGCTAAAGTTAAAGCTGCTGCATCATAATATAACTGTAGGTTTGGAAGTTTAAGACCTCCTCTTTCTGGAACATCTTGCATAATTTTCAATTTCACTCTCGGCTTTTTCTCGTTCCAGACAAACTTATTGACTCCAGTTTGCCAGACTTTCAGTTGTTTATCACTTTTAAGCACCGGGATCATTTGAAACAAAAAAAGAAATCTTGGCAAAGTGTTCATCTTAACTGCTGCTATTCTTCCAAGTAGAGACAGCTGCCGTTTTTTCCAAGTCTCCATGTCTTTCTGCACCTCTCGCCACAACACCTCATAATTATTTTGAAACAATTTCATGTTTGATTCTGCAACCTGAACTCCTAGATATTTTACCTTAGGTACAGTCTCAAAACCTGCCCTCCTTTCAAGCTCATGTTTACGATCTTGTGTCATGTTTTTAGCTATCATTTTAGTCTTTTTTGGATTCAGTCTAAAACCTGAAACATTACCATAGTCTTGTATAATGTCCTTCATCAGGATTATTGATTCCATTGGTTGTGATAGGGTAACAACCAGATCATCTGCAAATGCCTTTATTCTGTAGTCCTCTTGCCTAATCATTATACCTTTCAAGATATTAGAATCCCGTATTGTATTTAGCAAGACTTCTAGTGTTAAAATAAATAAAAGTGGGGACAACGGACATCCCTGTCTTGTTCCTTTTTCAATTTTAAACTCTGTTGTCAAACTTCCATTAATAATGATCTGTGCCTTTTGCTCTTGGTAAATTGCTGAAATCGCCTGTATAAATTGATCCCCAAAATCCATCTTTTTTAAAGTCTTTAGTAGAAAATTCCAATCCACTCTATCAAAGGCCTTCTCTGCATCCAAAAAGACCAGCACTGCAGGAATCTGTTTATTCTTCTCAAGATATTCCAATAAATCTATTACTTGCCTTACATTATCCTTCATGTGTCTGCCCTCGATAAATCCCGCTTGATCATCATGAATCACCTTTTGAATTACTGGCATCAACCTGTTGGCTAGTACTTTCGCATAGATTTTATAATCTGTATTCAAAAGAGATATCGGTCTGTAGTTCTCTGGTTTTTTAGGACCAACTTGTTCTTTTGGTATCAAAGATATGTAAGCTGTTGTCCATGATGGGGGTATTTTACCCCCTTGTTGAATATTGCAAAATAAATCTCTGAGTTGTTCCACCATTTCAGCTTGCAAAGTTTTGTAATACACTGCGGTCAAACCATCCGTGCCAGGAGCTTTGGCTGTTTTTAGCTGTTTAATTGCTACTATTATCTCCTCCTCTGTTATAGGATAATTCATTCTTTCCTTTTGTTGATCAGTAATTTTTGTAACTCTTTTATCGTTTAAATATTTTTCTATAAGTCCATTCTGCACCTCCTCTTTGGCATATAGTTTGGTATAATAGTCCACAAAAGCTTCTTTAATTAATTTTTGTTGAAAAATTTCTTTCCCTCCAATATCAATACTATCAATAGTCCGTATACTTTGTTTTTTCCTCAATGTGTAAGCCAACCATCTGCCCGGTTTATTAGCGTTACAAAATGTATTGTGCTTCGCATATTGTAAGTTTGTTGCAACTTGTTCCGCCATAAGCATTTGGAATTGGTCTTTCAAAAGTTTTATAGCACCGCATATTCTTTCATCTGTTGGATTTTTAATAAATAACTGTTCTTTATTCTTTATTTCTATTTCCAATTCAGATCTTTTCTTATGTCGAAACAGTCTATGTTTAGAGTTCATGTAGATAAGTACCCCTCTCATATAAGCTTTACTTGTGTCCCACACAATTTCTATTGGGGTACCTTTATTCAAATTTATTTCAAAAAATTCTTTCAAATGCTTTTTAAGTTCTGTTGTGTTTTTTTCATATCTAAACAAGTTCTCATTTAATCTCCAAGAACGTCTCTCAACCTTATCCATCTCAATTTCTATCCATACTGGGCTATGGTCAGTCAAAATTCTTGGAAAAATCTTTGTTCTTTTTGTCTTGACAAGTAAATCATCTGACAACAAAATAAAATCAATCCTAGAGAAGGATCTATGTCTATCTGAATAAAAAGTATAATCCAGTTCTTTTGGATTATGTATTCTCCAAATATCTTTTAGTTCCAAATCTTCTTTCATATCGAAAAAGGTCTGAGGTAACCTAATCCTAGATTTCGCTGAACTTCTTTTGTCTAATTTAGAGTCTATTACTCCATTCCAGTCTCCCATAATTAAAATAGATCTATAGTCCCATTGTAGTATTTTAGTATGTAACATTTTATAAAAATAATCCTGTTGTTGGTTGGGAGCATAAATTCCTATCAAAAGAATTTGGCCATATGTTGTAAGTAATTCAATTGCTACAAACCTACCATCTTCATCTGTTTCTATAACTTTAGCCGTAAATTTCTTATTTACATAGATAACCACACCATTCTTTTTTTGCAACGTTGAAGATATAAAATGTATTCCTAATTTGGAGTTTATCAAGTATTTTTGATCTTGAACTGTAATATGCGTTTCTTGTAGACAAATTATATCATTATTAAATTGTTTCAAATATGTAAATAATTTCTTCCTTTTCTGTGCTGAATTCAACCCATTCACATTCCAAGATAAACACTTAAGCATCATCTTCATCTTTCTGGAGCAAAGAGCAGAATAACCGAATATCATCCACGATCTTCGGAGTCGCTCCCCCCATGGCTCCAGTCTCTTGTGTAGTAGTCTTAGCTCCCTTCTTGTCTTGTCTTTCCTGTTGTTGTTGTTGCTTTTGTTTAAGTAATTTAGATTGAGCTCGAGTTATACGTTGATCCTTAACTTCGATCATCCGAACCGGGTCCAAGATTGGAGAAGATTCCAGCAAAGGCTCATCCAAAAAACCTCCTTCTGCGCCTTGCATTTCCTCTGGTTCCTGCTTAGACTGTTCTTGCAATTCTCGTTGAGGTTGCTTCTCATCACTCTCCTTAATCTCCAAAACTGTAGATGTACGTGGGGATGGTGTTCTTTCCTTAAGAATAGTAGTGTAAAAGTGCTCTGCCTTCTCCACGGTGTTCAAACGATATCTTTCTCCCTTGTATCTCAAAATTATACCAACTGGGGCGTCCCACCGAAATGGTATCTGTTGATTTTGCAATTCTTTAACAAGAAAGCCGAATTCTTTTCTGGTTTTCAACATTTTAGGAGGTAGTTCTTTATAAATTCCAATTCGTGAGCCCCCCCACTTGCACAGAGGTGTAAAAGGATTTTTGCAGGATGTCATTTCTTATTTCTCTGTCTGTAAAATATATGACCACATCTCTGGGCAATTGTCTTTGTCTGGCCACCCAAGAATTCACTCTATAAATTTTATCTATTTTGTGAAAAACCACATCGGGATTAACTTGTAAAATCTTGGCCAAAGCCTCAGAACAGACCTGTCTCAAATCCTGTCTATCCTCTTCTCGAATTCCTCGAAGCCGTATTGCAAACTCCATTGCCCTGAATTATACCATCACAATTTCATTTTCAACTCTCTGCATTTTATTGTCAACATCAGCAATTTTATAATCATTGTCTTTCATCTTAACATTAACTTCTGATTTAAATTCTTCAACTTTAGAATTAACTTTAATAATAAATTCTGCCAGGCCAGACGCCACTTCTGATATTTTTTTGGTCACCTTATTTTGATTCTGTTTCACCATATCTTTAACTTCATTAATTTCCTGCATAAATTCCTGGTGTGACTTTTGAAGTTTGTCATCTGTCTCCTGTTGAGATTTTTGAAATTTATCATCCAGAATTTTAGAAATAAATTCTTTTAAATCTCCCACATCAAAATCTTTTTTCTGAGTCTGTATCTGTTGTTCAGGGGGAGGCTGTGTTTTATGTGTGGGAGATCCACCTCCTGTTGCCTTCGCTTCCTGCTTCTTTGAGGCCATCCTGCCACGTAAGCTAGTTTTACTAAAAAGGGAAGTTCTTCTTCCTCTTCTCCCACCTCCACAAAGACTTCTGAAAAAGTCCCCCAGATTTATTCAAATAAAAACTAAAGTAAAGCAAAGTCCAGTATTGAAAAGGGAGAAATTTCTCTCTTATTCTCTTGTTACAAGCGAAGCAACTTCGTAACAGTTTAGAAACTTTGTGACAAAGCAAGATGAGTTCAGCAATCCACACTTGCCAGCTCGTTAACTCTAAGGCTAAGCGCCATGTTTTTACAGTTCACTTTCACTCATCCGCATTTTTTCGCTCAGATTAGAAAGCCAAGAAAACTCTAATACTTGCGATTCCGAGTTTCAGGGTTCAAGTAGAAATATGCTGCTTGTTAAGGCTAATTCCTTTCCTTTAAATTTGAAGTTTCCTGTAGCTGGCTTGTTCTGCAAAAGCAGACTTGTCCCACGCCGCCCGGAGTCCAGCAGGTTGAACGGGAGCCGCTCCTGTTCCCTCCCCTATTCCCTGGGGGGGTTGCAGGGGCTCAACCTGTGCCCTGTGATCTCTCTTCAAAGTTCCTAAGGATTTTGAAGTTTTCGAGCCACTTCTTAGTTGCGAAGCGGCTTTACAAGCGGCGGGGCTGGCGGAGCTTCAAAAGGCGCCGCCGCCGCCGAAGACGAGGAAACCGGAAGTCCAACAATTTTTACTTTTATTAAAAAATAAATATCCTGAACTCTATCACACAAAAAAAAAAAAAGAATTAAAATTCTTTCTCTACTTTTAGTGCTTACCATGAAACTATCTCTCACTAAGTAGCACTAGAAAAAAATAGACCTTGCCCATTCCTGCTTTAAAATTGACATAAACTTACAGCTACAACGGAAAATATGTTTGAAATATGGCCTTGAGAGAACTGTCATTAATAAATGACCACAGTTAATAATGCCAACTCTTTAATTAATGCCCAAAGTTTAAAGTCAGTAAGGAAAACGTAATTGCAGTCAGCACAACTAAATTTCTTATACAAAACATTGCAGGATTGGCTTGGTCACTGGGACCAGAGGTTTAGTTTTCCAAGCTTTCAGACTACTGTTGGAATCCATCCTCAGGGAATTTCTCTCTACCAAAATGTGTACTTTGGGATATTCTGTATTTATTTACACAAAAATACTACACATAGAATAGCTCAAAGTACGCATTCCAGTAAAGAAAAGTTCCTGAGGATAGCTCCAGTGTGAGTCTGAAAGCTTGGTAGACTAAACTTCTGGTCCCAGTGACTGACACAGATTGGATCCTGAAACATTATCCTTGGACTTTCGTAAAATATTATTGGACTTATGGTGCTATATAATGCCTTGCTAAAAAAATCCAGAAAAAACGTTTGCAAAAGTTTTTGCAAACGTTGAGATCTTTCTTTCTGGGAAGGAAAGTGCAAGAGGGAGGTGCAAGAGTAAGATTGCAACTATTCAATAAAAAGAAGGGTGGAGGTCATAATTCTAGATGTATTTTCTTTTTCATATACCTCATCTGACCTTTTAAATTGTTATTGTACTTAAAAATTCTAAAATCAATCAATAAAATGAGAGTCTCTTTCTATTGCAAGCACACACATTACTTTGTGATATTTTTTAAAAAGGATTATTCTTGTTTTGTTACATATAACATATGCTGTTCCCTACATGACATTTCCACTTATGTGATATTTATTATAGGAAATAAAACTAATTTATGATTTCCAGCTCTTATTTATTTACACTGCTGTTATTACCTTGCAACCTTCACAAGTGATACAACGATAGTGATATCCAGTCGCCTTGTCACCACAAACAACACATAACTCATCCTTGTCTAAATAACTGGGTATGTACCCTGCAAAGAATTAAGAGAGAAAGTTTATCAATGCAAAAAGTAAACTTAGGAATCTTCATTATTTAATGCCTGTTAATATAACTTATTACTCTGACATTAATGGTTTCTTAAATGGAGGCAGGAAATACAACAACATTGAACAGTCTGAATCAAAGTATTATAAAATACAAAAAGAAAATTATTTAGGAATCTAAAATTACTAAAGAAAATAATGTTACCACAATCAACGTGTATCTATACAATACACAATTCTGATAGTTGACACCAAAATAGTTGCTAAGGTTGAATAAAACTGGCCTAGAAGAATGGAGAAAAATCGATAAATATTTGGAACAAATCTTAGATCTAATGCAGATTATGCTTACCATAAATTAAGATAGAACTCTAAACTACTCGTGATGCCATTGCCAATCAAATAGGTAATTTAGAGATTAGAAAGACTGCACTTCTAAATATCTGGGCCCATTTTTCCCCTTGCTAAATGATTCTTGCTCTTCTTCTTCCACCTAGCCCTGAAACGCTGCAGAGATGTTTTTAATCAGTTTCTCTCTGTAGCTGAGTTGTGGAAATAAGACCTGACCGGAAATTGACGGACTTCATGTACATCCTTTTTTTTTTTTTTTTGTAGGTTAAGTATTACCTACTAGAATAAATTTTTATGGTTTTAAAAAAAGTGATTGCACCCAATTTTTTATTTTATTAATTAGATTTGTCTACTGCCCTTCTTGCTTAATTGGTGAGGGACAAGGGAATTTGCCAAGCTGATACAGGAATTTTCATTGATATCATTGGTCTACAAGGAGAAAGCCTTGGAAATGAAAGTAGCTTAATTTTACTAGAATTGGGTCACTAATAAAGGAAAATTAAGTCCTGAGTATTAATTGGCTCGAGTTTCCAAGATACAGCTTCAGGTCAAAATTGCATTAAAATAATTCAAAGTTATGAGGGGGATGTCGATTATGCTTCATAACTTTTCTGCAAAATGTGATATAGCAATGAGAATGGTGCCATGCCAATCATTATGTTTTTATTGATACCAATAACATAACTTTCTATTCATTTATTGGTTTTTCATTTAACATTTTCATGCTTTTTGCATGAAAAACTGAGAAGCTCTAACATCCGATTAAATGGTAAGGTTCCTTTATTCGGTATCTAAACTGCACTTTTTGGCTTTTCTCTTGTGAACTGCAGTAGGATCATCCTTGAGGAGATTCTAGCAATAACTGGCAAGCATGGAGGGACTCCATTTCCCTTGCTATCTTTTCTCCATGCTTGCGATATCCTGGTGGAATCTCTCCCCGTGCTCATCATTCACTGCCCTATAGTTCAAAGGGACTGTGTAAATGCAAGTGTAAGAAGTGAATTTTCAGTGACATGTTTGCACCAAGTGCTTTATAGGACCTAAGCAAATTTTCCATGTGTTTTTCATAATCATCTGCCTTGCTGTTCTCAAAGTGAAGATAAATATATACACTTCCATGTGGTACCATTGTCATTGTTTTGCCATATTTTGTCAAGAAGTTACAAGGCATCATGATCCTTAGACACCTCCGTCCCTTGTAAGCAAAAATACTAGCCTGTGTATAAATCGTTATTGTGAAATACCTTGAAAACTTTAGCCAACCAGCACCTTTATCACCTGTTTTCTAATTCATCTAATCAAAATATGTAAAATTAACACATTTTATCTCAGAAGTCAATAATTTCCCAAAATTTATAGACCACTGTATGTAAAGCTTGGTGGTATAAAAAAAACCCCAAAACCTCTCTGTGTGCTAGTGGGAACATAAAAAGACCTCACACACTTACTTCCTGAATCTTGGCCCAAAGTTATCAGTAAGAGGCACGTAGATATCACTGCGATAGCTACCACATTTGAACTTTTAAAAATATATCAGCAGAGAAGTGCTGATATATTAGTGATATTGTGATAGCAGTGATATTAATGGATAAAGAGCTCCTGCCTCTCTTGTACAATTGAATTTTCAAGTTTATTCTTGCTGTTAACGCTTTAATATTATGTAATATTAATATTACATTTCATTCCTGGAAGCGAAAATATACCAGAGTTCTTTCTGTATGAAAAGAGTACCTTTTTAAAGAAAAATATAGGATATTATCTGTATTCTGTTCAGAAGGTTGCTTGAGCAAATGGTGAAAGCCCCTGACTAAGGAACCTATTTCCAACTCCCGAGATAAATAATAGGTGTCTAGCTATTCATGAACATGCCAATTGCAGGTCTTGCTCTTAAATCTGTGTTGCATTGTTCTTAAATATATTGAACCAGACTCAAACCAGCCTTATTGACTTGAAGGAAGATTCATTTTATAGTAGTATGAGATATGAATTAATCTAATATGACTAACAATCAAATTAAATCCTAGCTCATATTAATTTAGAAATACATATATCCCTAAATTTAAGGTAGAATCAATTGCTGCATATGGCAGAGAGACAGAACTGGATTAATTTCTTAGGCAAGCTGTTTTTTGAATCATTTGTCTGCTTTGAAAAATATGGAAGATCATGGTATAAGTGCTAAAGTCAAACATTATTTCCTCTTTTGATACTCTTTAATGATGGGAATTTACTCCCATTCCTTACCCCATTAAAAATTTAGTAATGTATTGATTGGCATTCAGTAAAAAATGGCCATTGTGTTAAAAATATGAACAGAAACACAATAAAAACTCTATGGTTGTTCAATTAAACAATTTGCTTATTGATAAACTGTGAGATATTTTGAAGAGAAATAGAATATGCAATGCTGTGATTAAAATTCTGTAATACATGCAGATGCCTATGCAATGTTACAGAAAGAGGAAATGATTCTTTTTCCTTTTCTAAATGATCTAAATGTATTGCTTTTCATTTCCCTAATATTCTAGGAGAGTTATGCATTGTGTTAACTAATGTATCCCAACACAAATTCCCTTTAGCACTACCATATATGTTGCTTTAGCATATATCTTTTTAAAAAATAATTTTTATTAAAGACTTGTTAACAAAGTTAAAAAATAGATACAAAAATAAAAGTATAAAAGATAAAGAACAACAAAATGAAGTGAAGAAAAAAGTATTTAAAGAAGCAATTTATGATTTTCCTTGCAGCATACTGTATATAAGACATACTTGATACCATTTCCCCTTCATAATTATATAACATAATTCCCACCTGCTCATATACATACACAACATATACAGTTAGTAAATCCAGAAATCATCAGCTTCTAGTCTTTTATAACAGTAATTGTTATTCCTTCCCTAATCAAACAAGTTAATTTAATAATTTCTGTTAAGTTATACCATCATTGCCATTCATCCTCTTGTGGGTATTTCATCTTTGTGCATGTAATAAACCCGTTGCTGTTACCATATATAAAACCAATAATCCATTAGTTACTTTAGCATATAATACCTTAAGGATCCTGATTTTTGTCTTCTTGATTAATTTTCTGCAATTTAAATGTAGCTATGATTTTAAGATAAAAATTCTCAAACAGCTGGAAATATATGATTGAAATATAAAACATGTATGTTTCATGATGTTTAGATACTTATAATTAAGATTGTATCTTACCAATTATGTAGATACCTTTTTCACAAGCCATGCAACTTTTATAAACACATTCTGATCAGAATTAGAAACTCAAAAATTTTAGGAATAATCTAAATATATAAGGTATGGTTCTTAATTTTTTAGGTACTAGTCTATAGAAACATAATGGCAAGTACCAGTATAATAAATGCAAGCCAAGTTACTCAGAGTTATATGAAACGAATATAAAGAGCTTGTAAGGCCAACTGTGAACACCTGCTTTAAATCTTAATTTTGTTTAATGAGCTAATATTAAGGCTTTGCTAGCAGCAAAAAAAATATGCATGTAAAATAAGAAAGAAATCAATTGTGGATCAATAGTGTCACAAATGTTTTATATTACAGCTGTCTGCCTTCAAGAGAGGATTAGCTGATCAAATTTTTTATCAAGGTTTGGTTGAAAGGTCTCATAAAATATGTTTATAGTTTCTAATACTATTTGATTAACAAATATGTTATGCTATCTTTGCTGACCAAGAAAATGAGCCAAAATTGTTTGCAGTCATATGAATTTCATTCATTGAAAGCAACATATTACTGCCAAATATTTGGAAAGATTTTAAATTCAACAGAAAACAGGCAAGAAAAAATTATTGGAGGAAAATCTCACAATGAAAATTCCAAGAAAAAGCCACTATTTACTAATATTTAAAGTTTGCTAACATACAACTAGATGTACGGACTAGTGTATTAATCTGTAATATAAAAGCCTAATGTATACAAATGTTATAGTATTATAAAATGATAATAATCAAGAATTATTTAATTTTATAGCCATATAATAGTTTGCAAATTGTATATGGATAAAAATCTTGTGAAGTTGTATTTGCAAAATATCATGCAGTTTTGCTTAACTTTATTACTAATATTTGTCAACAAAACAAATGTGTTGATTATATAGTTTCTAACCAAAGATGGAGAAAGAGAGAAAAAGAGGAACAAAATAAAAAGTATATATCTTTTACTTATTTACATTAAGATTCAAAAAAGAGAAAAATACAAAGACATAGAAATAATAGAAGGAAATAGAAACAAAAAAGAAGGTACAGAGATTAGGTTATTTTCACTTTTTAAAAAATCCTACTTTTTAAATATATATTAAACTTTTTAAATATTTACATATTAGTGAATTTTTCAGTTCTGGAACATTTTAAATATGAAGAACAATTTAAATCTAATTTTTACCATTTAGTAACTTTTTAAAAAAACTCTAGACTTTTAGACCAGTATGGTTTTTAAAAAAAAAAAAAAAACTACTGAATAACTTTGTCTACTACAAGTAATAATTTAACAACAGTAAATGCTGCTAGGTATATCACAAGCTGAGCAAAAGAAAAAAAGAATATTGTGGCATTCTATTTTAAATAGATGACATTCATCTATAGAATTGTTTTAAAA